ACTAATAACTTTTGATAATCATATTTATCCAATATTTACAAAAGAATGTTTCTCTTAAAAGAAAGTACAATATCAAGGCAATATATAACGTTTTCGAATTTCAATAAACTTACGTGGTCTTACATCTATAACTTCATGTACGACCTTAATCTCTTCAAGCTCATATAGATTACTACGACTCATCCTAATATTAAAGTACGGGATGTAACAGACGAAACTCATTTTCTTTGATTTGCTTACCATCTCACCTTCACGAAATTACTTATCACTCGTTTGAAATAGCATAATACTTATAATTCCAAAATAATTTCATTCCCGAACTTACGTCGATTAACTTACGACGAAACTTTAACGTACAAAAGTGCGGGATGTAACATCTCATTTTCGAGTTTTCACCAATTTATTCATGGCGTACTTTCACATACAAACAAATATGGGGTGTAACACAAAGAGGCCAACTACAAAGACGAAAGGGAACAACAAGTAGAAAGGGTAGATTGACTGGATAGATTTGGCCGCTCAATCCAAAATACATGTCATGATCATTAAAGTTTGGCTACCATATTAAAAAGAGCCCATTCTATGTTTTTCTCCTCGTAAAGTGGCATTTTCAGTTAAATACTATTCTTTCTCGTTTTTACATCGCGTCATTTTATTCATTTGCATTATTATTTTGAATCTGTTTTTGTAAAAACAAAAGAGAAATAATTTCAAAATCTGTTACCAGCTTTCTAATTATACAAAACGAGTTCTATCCTAGCACATCAAAGAGGACATTTCCAGAAGGCAACATGCACAATAAGTTATTGAGATTAAACAAGATCTGAGGTTTCATGCAGACGAAAGTTTCAAAGAGAAAATTTTGCTGGTCTATTTTCTTAGAAGCCAACAAAGAAAGGGCCACAAAATTGGTCATTGTTCCCCGGAAGTGTAAAACAAATAATGTGGGGCATACACGACATTGACAAAGACACAAATCCAAGTCAGATTTCCTCTGATAAGCCGAACAAAGTATTTCGAAGAAATCGAAAAGGTCACTAAGCACGACTTGTTTTATGGGCAAAGCTGATAGCACCACAGACAAACTGATATCGAGTGCAAGATAATCAAGTTTGATTTTTAAAGGAAAAAACCTCCAAAGAGAAGACTTGATTTATAGGCAAGGTTCAACATCACCTTAGACCCCAAATGCACACGATATAATCTTCACAGCCTCCTCTTTCCATATTTCCAAACCAAATCCTTCAAAAATCCCTCAAAATCCTTGAATTTTAGATCTAGAAAACTTTAGCCGCCACTTTTTTGCCCAAATTCATGAAGCTCCGGCCACTACCACCCCCACAATACCTACATCAATGGATAGAGCTCATCAAGACCTACCTATTGATGTCCATTCCATCCCGAAAATCTGGCAACTAAAAATCCGGCCAAATTCCGGCGACTACCCCGAACGCCCTAGTTTGGTATACCCCTATTCTCGTTTTCTTTGTCTATTTTTACTAATTGTATTATAGTTTGTTTATGTCTAGCATAATTTATGATTTTTATTTTTATTTTTATTATTATTATTTATATTTTTATTATTAGTTGTGTTTAATCTATGTTAGCTTAGTCGTTCATAGTTATTAATTACTGATAATTAGTTATTCATTAGCTTTAAAATAGCTATTCGCTTAGTCATGTTAGTTGATAATAAAATTTTCAAGCGCTTAGTGAATTTATTTATATTGGATTTGAGTATTTGAATTTTATGTTGATAAAAGCTGAAATTAAAGAAGGAATAGTACAAGTTTGGTTGTTTTTGCTGTGCAAAGACTTTGGAGTACAAAACTCAAAAGTCATTATGTGGTGACAAATACAATACTTTTTTTTTTTACAGCTTTTGAATAGTGTTTAGCACACAAAGTCAGACTTTTGGTGAACCAAAATCTGTCCAAAAATCTGGCTTTATTTGCCTATTTAAAGGGCTACTCTTCTCCTATAAAATGACTCACACTCTATCTTATACCAGGACATTTTTAGAGTTATTTGAACACACATATCTTTAAATAAAAAATCAGCAACTGAATATTTTAGTAAGTTAAAATTTGTGAGCTTTGTGAGTGTCTCCTAGAGTGCAAAATCATTAAGAAAATAGAGCAATCGTTTGGCTATGTTCTGAGATTGTTAGTTACTAGTTTCAAGTGTCTTCGCGGGATTTTCTGGGTTGTTTCTTACACTGATTGGTTATTGTTACTGTTGCTGGAATTTCTGTTCATTCATCACTGATCTTTGCTTTTCTGTTATCCAGGTATTCCCTCATATGGTACTGTAATTTTTTGGGGTCAACAATGAATGAAAATGAAGCTATTTGAGTTTTTTTTAATTTATTATAAGCTTAACAACATTCTGTTTCTTGTATAGTTTTGTATGTAAGCATGCGTAATAAATTCACTATAACCTTGTATTAATGAGAAAATGCTTCGCTAATCCAAGGAGGGTTTTCATGTTCTTTAAGTGATGTGTTTGTATTGTGTAATATTCTTTAAATAAGGCCAAATATCTGAAGATGGCAATAGTAATGCATTTTAAAGTGTTAAACTTAGTAGAATCAAGTTCATTCTATATGCTATTATATTCTCCAAGTGCCATGCGTTCAAAGTGTATAGTAGTCAGATGAAAGGTTTAATTTACTTCCCCTTTTGGATCTGTTATCTTCTTTAAGATGTCGAAAAAACGAATAAAATAATCAGGAACAAGGTTGGTTATTTTTGCAAAAAAAAAAAAAAGACCTAATTTTATTTGTCAATAAGCATAAGCTAGCCAAAGTAAGTTTTTTTAGGAATATTTTGCAGCAGGTTAGCCAAAGTAAGCATAAGCTACTCAAGTTTGTCACTTTAATTGAAAAAATTCTTTAACCCACAATCAATAACATACATTATCTTTTTGGGAGTAAAAAAGGGTGTGACATAATCCAAGCAATCTTTTACCATCGTTGGCCAATAATATTCCATCATTTTTATATAGAAGTGGAGCTTTGGTCTAGACTGGTGTGATCCACATACCCCAGAATGTGCCTCTTTCAAAGCTTGGAGTGCTTCTTCATCCTCTAAGCATCGCAAGAGTACTCCCTCGAATGACCTTCTGTATAGAGTATCTTTGTAGTAAAGGAAGCGAGGTGCACGACGACGGATTTCAGTCCTTCTCCTCGGATTTTCTGGAATTATCCCGTAGCTTAAGTAGTCGATAATGGGTTGTCGTCATTCTTCTTTCTCAGCTTCAGAAATAGCGACAAGATGCTTGAGTTCATTTTCTTCACCTTTAGCCTCATTTGGCGGCGGTACTACCCATTTTTGGCAGACAGTAACTTGCGCTTGATTAGGCAGGGTTAACGATGAGGCTATGGCAGCTAAATCATCAGCCTTCTTGTTTTCTTTCCTTGACACATATTGAGTAGTCACGTCACCGACCCACCCTATTAACGTTTTAGCATAATCATGATATGGGCGTAGTTCAGGTTTCTTGACCTCGTAACTACCTAAAAGCTGATTGATCGCCAACTAAGAAGTCACCAAAGACTTGCAATTGCAACCGCTTCATTTCGACAACCATTTCAAGCCCAAGTATTAGTGCTTGATACTCAGCAACATTCTTAGAGCAGAGTTATGTCAACGTAAAATAGTAGGGCAGAACTTCACCTTGAGAAGTGATAAATACTACACCAGCACAAACTCCTCCGTGATGTGCAGCACCATCAAAGTACATCTTCCATGGAGGTTGAACTTGAATGACCATTGCGTCCTCATCAGGTAGTTTGTCAGTTAGCTCTCAATCATCAGGTATAGGGTGATCTGCAAGAAGTTCGCTAACGCCTGTCCTTTTATAGCCTTTTGAGGGATGTACACAATTTTAAATTGTTGAAACTGGAGGTACCACCTTGCTAGTCGATCACTAAGGACATGTTTTAACATTACAAACTTGATGGGATTTGATCTAGAAACAAGGCGAAGGACATAAGCTTGAAAGTAGTGCTTCAACTTTTGAATTGAGAAGACTAAGGCCAAACATAACATTTCGATTGGCGAATAATTTAGCTCATTTGGTGTCATCATCCTGCTTAGGTAGTAAAGAGAGTTTTCTTTCCCCTCACTATTTTCTTGGGCGAACAGTGCTCCAACAGACCTTTCTTGTATTGAAATATATAGTATCAATGGCTTTCCAGGTATAGGGGCTGCCAAAACCGGGGGCTTCATCAAGTAAGTTTTGATGCTTTCAAAGGCATTGCTACAAGCTCGGTCTCACTTAAAAGGAACGCATTTCTTCATGAGGCGACTGAATGGTTGGCACCTCCCAGCTAGGTTTGAGATGAATCTCCTAAGGTATGCTAGCTTTCCTTGCAGACTTTTCAATTCATGAATATCGTGAGGCTCAGGCATCTTCAAAATGGCATCCACTTTGGCTTGATCAATTTCGATCCCTCAATGTCGGACAATGAAACCAAGAAACTTTCCAGAAGTAACTCCAAAGGCACATTTCAATGGATTCATCCTAAGTTGGTACCTCCGGAGCAACTCAAACATCATTCTCAAGTCTTTCAAGTGGTCGCTCTTCTATTTTGATTTTATAACTGCCAGAAAATACTTTTTTTCCGACTACAATTTTCGACTACAAAATGTCATTCGTAAATTTCTAACTACTGTAGTCGGAAATCTCATATTTATTTTTTTATTTATTTCTAAGAATTATTCCGAGTATGTTTTCGATTAATATAATCGTAAAGCTTCACGGAAAATTCCGCGTATAGAATTTTTCGACTACTATAGTCAAAATATTATATAGGAATGTCAAACAACTTTTGACCAAATGGTCCTGACCGTGGTAGTTGGAATTTTAAAAAATAAATAATTAAATAATATATATTTTCCGACTACAGGTAGTCGGAATATTGTGAGACCTTATTTTGTGACTACTGTAGTCGAAAAATTAAGTTATTTTCTACCTAATTCCATTAAATACTTTTTTCCCACACACGCTCTCTCTTACTCTCTGTCTCTTTCTCTCTACACGCTCTCTTCGGCTCTCCATTTAATCAACGGCACCGACGAAATCAAATTCAACGGTACCGACAATATCAACGACTGTTCTTCATCAGATAGGCCCCCCCTCTCTCTCTCTCTCTCTCTCTCTCTCCCTGTCTAATCTTCTATGACGACTTAGGGTTTTGTTTTTAGTGTGAAAAATCAGTGGCACTACTATTTTAGTGTTAAAAACTTAGTTTAAAAAATAATTGACTGGGTTTGTTCTCTCATGGTCAAACAGCCGATTGTTATTTACTGGGTTTGTAATATTTTGAATGCTCTGTGATTGTTCTTAAAATTTAAGTAGATCTTAGAAAGAATATTATGATGGAATAATTAAATGATAATGAGGTTTGCACTTTACATTTGGTGCGAAAATTAAGAGTGCCTAACAAAATATCAAAAACAGACCCATTTGATTTATTCATAGTGCGTTGATTTCTGAAAATTTGGTGTTCCTTTCTGTATATCATTCAGCATCACATGGTATTTTATACTATAATTTATAAGTTTAGTGTAAATTGAGTAGTTTTATCCATTAATACATTTTTTGAGGAATTGAGAAATTATTTATTATTTTTGAGATTGTCCCCTAAATTTTTGACCAATCGGGTATGTTTACTGGGGCTGATTGCTGAGCTATTTTAGGTTCGCGAATGGAATTCTTGTTTGATTTTGGGATCATTTTGACTGCAGTGGGCAGCCTCCTTGGAATGAAATTAGAAGTTGACTGTATAGGAATTTGTCTCCAACAAGAGAAAGTTGCAGGCTGCAAGGTAGAGGAGAGATAACATTTCGGTTAGTAATTTGTTATAAGTTACAAAATCTTTACCAGTTTGCAATTCTAACTAATCTTGAACTAGAACTACGAATATCCACTATGAAACTTTTTCCCTAGCTTACTTATGATGCGAGGTGTAATTCTTGTAATCTCTTGATGTTAACTCTCTTGATGAAGAAGAATCCGGAACTTCACCTCTTTAAAAGCTCGTTTATTTTTCTAAAAAAAATTGTCTGGGTTAAGATAGATCAGTAGTAGTGTAGTACCATAACAAAAAAAGAAGAAGATAGATCGGTAAAATATGGTAAAGGAGATGGTAGAGATACACAGATGCATTGGAATTTGAAACCTTTTACTCAAGGATATCTATTAGTAGTATAATTATAATAATAACACCAATTTTTAGTTTCATCTCTTGAACGTTGCTCTCAGGAGAGACAAAATTCCTCTACTTTAAGTTCTATATTTTCTTTTAGTTAAGTCACATTGAAACTTTGGTGCAAAAGCAATTGCACTATGTTGATCCATACTTTTTTATTATATTGTAGTAATTCATAAATAGGGATGCATATTCATATGATGTCTAGAAAAATAAAAGAAAAATATTCATACTTAACTGCTTAGTTGATACCACTACTGTTGCTACTTGTAATTCAAAGGGGGAAAAGAAAACAAAAGTAGAATCAGAAAAACATGGAGGAGAAGAAAAATCCTAGAAGCTAGCTAATAAACATGCAGACCTATATTTTGTTTTTTCAAAACAATTAAGCATACCTCAAAAACTCTGATGTTTTTTGAAAGATCTTGGAAAAGTAATTAATAGAGAATGCTAGTGTGAGAGAATTCATGTAATCAACCTAACTTTTATTGTGAAATTTTAAATTTATAGAGTCATTCATAATTAAAATTGTTACACCCCATATTTTCGTACGTGGAAGTACGCCATAAGTAAATTGATATAAACTCAAAAATGAGATGTTACCTTCCTCATTTTCATACGTTAAAGTTTCTTCGTAAACTAATCACGTAAGTTCGGGAATGAGATTATTTTGAGATTATAAGCATTATGCTATTTCAAACAAGTGATAAGTAAATTCGTGAAGGTGAAAGGGTAAGCGAATCGAAGAAAATGAGTTTCGTCGAAGTTTGACATGTTGGGATAAAATATGGCCCGAGCTAAAATACCCGGTACTTATGGACTAGTGCCATACAAGGTACCACATAACCATAATTGTAGAATGTATAAGGTATGTGAGAAGTGAGTAGTATTTTAAGTAAGTGAAAATAATTCTTAATTATGTGGGTAATTAGTTAATTATTGGGTAATGGAACATTACCTAGTTAATTAATAATTAGTGGTTGATTAATTGAAGTCTTTGGATAAAGATTGGACACAAAACGTGGCAGCCACATAAAACTACATTAAGTGACTCATGTATTATGTAGCAAGGTGTCAATTAAGTAATTTGTGACTCATGTATTATGTAGCAAGGTGTCCATTAAGTGATTCACCCCTCTTTAATCTTATGAATGAGATTTGCATACAAATCTTCACTTTAGCACATGCAAGCTAATGCTTGCTTACCCCCCCTTGAGATTAGGAGCTACAAGCATCATTTTAGCACAAAGTTAAGCCAAATTTGACAATGGTTGGAGTTGGTCTATTGTCAAAACCGTGTATAATTTCATAAAATTGTATATGTTGTGATTTGCTACAATCAAATCTCATACAAGACTACTTAATATTTAGCAACGTGGGATTTTGCGATTCTAAGAAAGTACGGTGCAATCATTTTCAAGAATATCATACAGATTTTTCCCTACTTCGATCCGCAGTTATGTGTTCTTCGCAAAAGACTTGTGTTAGAGAGATTGTCAAGAGAATCGGCTCAGGTATGTTAAGGCTATCCCTTCTTTCCTTTTGCCATGATCTATACGATACAAACGAAATGAGTAAATGCACAACTTCCATAAATGACTCTATTCATAGAAGTATTAGAGGTGTCTATATTCTTGAATTCCCATATGTCTTATTATTCTATCGTCTATTCATGAGTCTTAGAAAATACATAAGTTGATAAAGTTTATTTCGTGATATTAATCAGAGGTATAATGGTCTTATGACGTTCCGAGAGATTATGTTGACGTACTTCTCATGCACTGCATTCATTTATACATATACATTGACCCATGACCAGACGGCGTTATATACGCGTATATATATATGTGTGTGTGTGTGTGTGTGTGTGTGTGTATATATATATATATATATATATATGTGTGTGTGTGTGTGTGTGTATGTGTGTGTGTGTGTGTATGTATATAGGATATGGAAAAAGGTTACGGTATTATATACGCACCACCACCTGATCAGCTAGTATACATTGATGATTTGCCCACATTGGCCGAGATGATATGATGAGATGCCCGTAGAGGCTTGATGATATTATGAACACATGTACCTATGCACGACATGACATTCGTACACATATACATGACACTATAAGTATTTCATGATTTATATAGTTATTCAGACTTATAGGTTGAGTCAGTTACTCTATATTTCTTCCATGTCTTTTGTATACTTATTTATGTGTCTTACATACTCGGTACATTATTCGTACTGACGTCCCTTTGCCCGGGGACGCTGCATTTCATGCCCGCAGGTTCCGATAGACAGGTCGAGCGTCCTCCAAGTAGGCTATCAACTCAGCGGAAGATATTGGTACACTCCATTTGCTCCGGAGTTGGTTGTTTGGTTAGTATCATTTAGACAAGTATTGATTAGTATGTCGGGGCCCTGTCTCGGCCTTATGACATTTATGTACTCTTAGAGGCTTGTAGACATATGTCATGTATATGAAAGATTGTATGGCCTTGTCGGCCTATGTTCAATATACGAATGATTATTTTGGCCATATAGGCCCGTACGCCATACGTATAAGTTTGGATTACATGTTGGGTCATCCAATGTCGAGTATTTCCCCATATTTTATTCAACTTATTTCACGATAGCCTCTCTGGCTCATTTACCTATGATATTATGATACGAAGATACGTTATGTAGGTACTCGATTGAGTAAGGTATCGGGTGCCAGTTGCGGCCCATCGGTTTGGGTCGTGAAAGTGGTATCAGAGCAGTTCTGTCCTAGGGAGTCTACAAGTCGTGTCTAGTAGAATCTTGTTTATGGGTGTGTCATGCACCACACTTATAAGCAGGAGGCTACAGGGCATTTAGGACTCTCACTCTTTCTTCTTGCTCTAGATCGTGTGGTAGAGCTCACTTATAAGAATTCACATTCCTAAATTCTATTCTATTTGTAATACAATGATGCCTACATCTAGAAAGACGGTTGGTAAGTGATTGAATGCGGTTGTGGAAGAGTTGAGTCAGAGGAACTCGATTTTTGCATCATGCTTATGATGAGTAAATATGAGGGCTTCAGCAGATCTTGTGGGTATTAAGACGTGTAAGCTTCTTGATAAGGAGACTTAAGGCAAGAATGTCGATCCACCCCTATGGTGAAGGGCAATGAGAGATTTAGAAGATAGATACAAGTTTCAACAAGTAAAAAAATCAAGGTGAGGAAGGGTACGAGGCGCCCAGTTAATGAAGATTATCAGTATTTACAATTCAGGCAGAGGAATATAAGCATTTTGAGTTACCTTCAATAGTAACATAGGTATGTACAATTGGTCACACCCATTCCAGTTTTGCCCTATGGGGGTCAACAAAAGTAGTATAAGAGAAGGACGAGATATCAAGATCTGGCTGGGGTTAGAATAACCCAAAATGATGGATGAATCCTTTTTGAGTTAGTTGACATTTCTGAAGGGTATTACAAAGGTGCTAATAGATCTCCTTGTGAGACACCCAGATGGTGCACTCTAAAATAGTACAGCTAGATATGAGCACTACAAAGATAGGCACTGGAAGCCTTGAAGAGATAAATATTACCTTAGTGTGGCTCCCGTCCCTAGTAGAGGGATAACGTTAAGCAACCTGAAGAGCCACTGGATGGAGCAAAGGAGAGCAAAAAGCAAAAGAATATCTTCTTGAAGTTTTTACAATAAAGTGATAGACATAAATGTTAGCAGAAAATAAGAAGAGAGTCAATAAAGTATTATGAGTAAAATATGATACATGGATGACAACAGTAGATAAAAAAAATGACAGTATTACATAGTCTATAATCAAGTGAAGGAAAAGACGGGACGTGACAAGCCTTGAGACAACAAAAGAACATAGGCCATAAAATCATGTCCTCATTTAGAAAAAAATAAGTTTGTGACTCTAACATGATTACCAAAAGGAAAAGTTAGACCCGGAGTAATAGAAATCAGTATGGACTGGTGAACAAGGTAAACTAAACATGAATTAGGGATTGAGTGATTTGATAATGATTAACATCATGAGAATTTCAGATTTTGTTTCGGCAATAACAGAATAGACAACAAAAGAAGATTCATGAGAAATTCAGAGAATGGTCATTCAGGAAGACGCTTCCCTAAAGCAAGCATTATGAGCAAAGTTAAGCTTAAGGGACTGTATGTGCCAGTTATACTAAGTGTCACACTCGCGGGTAAGGAATTTTATTATCCTTGGTATAGAAGGATTACCGCAAGGTGAGTAAGGGTCATCAACGATGTGAAAAGACGCCAAAAATGAAGAACCTAACCTTAGGTTGAAAGTAGTGACGAGCTGGGATAAGGGTCAGAGTCCAACTCCATTAACCAGCAACAGTTCATAATAATATAATTTAAAGCAACACAAGTAATAACTCAATAATAAAATGCCCAGCTCGTATAAAATTTCAAAAAATAAATATTTTGTTTATATAACAGTAAAACTCAAATTCTTTGCCGAAAGTCACCGAAAATATGAGTAAGTCTGAAACCTGTGATTTTTCTCAAAACTTTAATGACAGATAAGAAATTCGATTATCAGATGACATGAGGAAAACTACTTCTCTGTGCCTACATATTAAGTATGCATGTCTAATGCAATGCAGCACAATGATAAACTCATGTACTCACACTCTTAGAGTACTCACTCTCACAGTACTGTATATGGCCAATCTAGCACAGGGAAGATCCATCCCAAATATATATCCATAATAACTGGCATGCAGTCACTCAGTACTGTACATGACCAATCTAGCCGAGGGAACTCCATCCCAAATATAAATAAATAAGGCAACTCTATGCCCAGGGAACTCTATCCCAAATATAAAGAGTCAATTCCATGGCCAGGGAACTCCATCCCAAATATAAATAAATAAGGCAACTCCATGCCCACGGAACTCAATCCCAAATATAAATAAATATGCAACTCCATGCCCAGGGAACTCCATCCCAGGAGTGAATATATATGGCAAATCCATGCCCAGGGAACTCCATCCCAAATATAATAACTATTGCGCTCACTGTGGGGGGTTGCAGACTCCGAAGGGGTTCCTTCAGCCCAAGCGCTATAATAAGCCAATCAGGCCTGCTGCGGCGTGCAACCCAATCCCATAATAATAAAGTATATAAAGTCAATATGGCATGATGTGCCGTACAACCCAATCCCATAAATATCCTCACAATCAGGCCCTCGGCCTCACTCAGTCATCAATCTCTCCAGTCTCTCGGGCTCAAAATGTAATGAAAATCAGTCCAAAAATAATAATATGATGTATCAATAATTAGCAATAGAGACTGAGATATGATATGAAATAAATGAACATAATTGAGTATGAAATTATAATTTAAACAAATAATTCAATAATAATATGACCTCTGTTGGTCTAAATAATAACGGGATAGAGCCTCAGCATGACTTTTATCATGATTCTCAGCTCAATTTCTTTAATACATGAAAGTACATGGATAATGCCAAGATTATTTGATAACAAAAATCTACGGAATCAATTACGTCACAAATTTCCACGATGCACGCCCACACGCCACACCCGTCACCTAGCATGTGCGTCACCTCCAAATAATTCATATAACACGTAATTAAGTGATTTATACCTCACCTCCAAGTTTAGAAATGTTACTTACCTCAAACCGTGTAATTCTTTATTCCGATATGCCTTTGCCTCACGAATCGGCCTCCGAACACCTCGAATCTAGTCACAATTAATTTGATACACTCAACACAATTTATAGGAATTAATTCCATATGAAAATACTAATTTTCCTATAAAATCTGAAATTTCACTCAAATATCGCTAGTGGGGCCCACGTCTCAGAACCCCGCAAAAGTTACAAAATATGAACGCCCATTCAACCACGAGTTCAACCATACTAAATTTACCAAATTCCGACATCAATTCGACTCTCAAATCTTCAATTTTACCTTAAGAGTTTTCACAATTCCTCCATCTTAAAATACCAATTAAATACTAAAAATAGTAATAGATTCGGATAATTTGACTAAAATTTAGTTAAGAACACCTACCCCATTGTTTCCATTAAATATCTCCCGAAAATCACCTCTGCCTAAGCTCCAAATCGTTAAAAATGGAAAATGGGATGAAGTCCCATTTTTAGAACTTAAATTCCCTGCCCAGCGATTCCTTCTTCGCGAACGCAGAAGATGCCTCGCGTTCGCGAAGCACAAATTTGCACAGCTGCCAAAAGCTTCTTCGCGAAGCTCCACTCATAAACGTGGTGCCTATCTGACACTAAGTTTCGCGAACACGGTACCCATTTTGCGAATGCGAAGACTAAATGTGTGGGGTCACAACTGCCTCTTCTTCCTCTTCACGAACGCGACCCCCTTCACGCGTTCGCGATGCATCACCTACCCAGTCCTTCGCGAGTGCAGCTCCCTCTTCGCGAACGAGAAGAACAATTCTTCACCTGCCACCATCTACTCTTTGCGAACATGGAACGCCCATTGTGAACGCGAAGAAGGAAACCAGACACCAGAAATCTGTAGCTTCAACCATCTTCCAAGACAAAATTCTCATCCGTTAACCATCTGATATCCACCCGAGGCCCCCAAGACCTCAACCAAAAATACCAACAAGTTCTAAAATATCATATGAATTTAGTCGAAGCTTCAAATCATATCAAACAATGCTAAAACCATGAATCATACCCCAATTTAAGCTTAATGAAACTAAGAAATTTCAACTTCTACATTCGATGCCGAAACCTATCAAATCAAGTCCGATTGGCCTCAAATTTTGCACACAAGTCATAAATGATATAACAGACCTATTCCAAATTTTCAGAATCGGATTCCGACCTCGATATCAAAAAGTCAGCTCCTCGGTCAAACTTTCAACTTAAATTTCCTATTTTCGCCATTTTATGCCTAATTTAACTACGGACTTCCAAATAATTTTTCGGAGACACTCCTAAGTCCAAAATCTCCATATGGATCTATTCGAACAATCAAAACTCCATTCCGGAGTTGTTTGCTCAAAAGTCAAACTCCGGTCAACCCTTTTCATCCAACATGAATCTTATTCTTCCAAACTAATCCCGAAATACCTGAAAATCAAAACCGATGATTCAAACACGTCATAATACATCATATGAAGCTGTGCAAGACTTCTATTAGTTGGAAGGAGCGTAAATGTTTAAAACGACAAGTCGGATCGTTACATTCTCCCCACTTAAATATACATTCGTCCTCGAACGTGCCAAGAGTTGTTCTTAAACCTTCAAATCACTGTTCTACCTTACCACACACATACCCGGGGGTGATACCACATCACCCTATTCCATATAGGCCTTACAATATCATAATTGAAGATCATTACTTAAATCTTAGTCTATAAACCTTGGAATTCATTTTCCAACATTCAGAATATTCTTCAAGACCCGTATCTCACATATACACACTGTATAAGTCTGAACAAGCTGTATCAAACCATAACCATAACCCCAGATATAATCATATAACATACTACACAACTCGCATGCTCGCAGCACCATTCCCAATCACCCTAAC